GCATGATGTTTCCTCTTCCAAACAGATTATTCAATGTGGCGTTCCTCAAGGTTCCATATTAGGACCACTCTTTTTCATTCTATATATTACTGACCTTCCGAATGCCTTGCGATTAGCGGAACCATTATTATTTGCAGATGATACAAGTATTTACTACTCACATTCTGATCCACTTGTGTTAGCTACTGTCTTAAATCAAGAATTGAGTAGTATTAGCTTGTGGATGAAGGCGAATAAATTGTCAGTTAATACCAAGAAAACAAACTAGGTTATTTTTAAACCAAAACAAAAGAAATTAAAAACTATTATGATACCGCTCATGTTTAATGAAAATAAGCTTACGCAAAAACGAGTGGTCAAGTTCCTTGGAGTTTTTATAGATGAAAATCTTTCATGGAAATTTCATATTGATCACATCTGTAAAAAAGTCTCAAAATCCACCAGCATAATCTATAGATCACGTTTTCTATTGTCTATGAAAACTAAATTATCCCTATATTATACCTTGATCTACCCATATCTGACCTACTGCAACGTCATTTGGTCTTCTACCTATGTCACAAATGTAAAAAGATTATTTTTAATCCAAAAACGACTTGTTAGAGCCTTGACAAACGCTGACTTTACAGCACATACTGCACCACTGTTTTATCGGCTGAATCTGCTTGATATTTATAAAATTAATTTCTTATACATTGTTAAATTCATGTATTGCTATCATTATAATTTACTTCCATCTTCATTTCATAATATTTTCATTACTAGTCGTCACATGCACTCTTACAACACTAGAAATGCAAATGTATATCGACCTCATACATGTCGTACAAACATAAAGACGTTTAGTTCTTTGAATGTTTGCATGGCGATAAAATATAAATGTTTTTGTTTGTGGAAACACCACGTAAATTTATTGCTGCAAAGCTTTCGATCCGTAAGCCCGGATCTTCATCAGTGCTAATAAATATGATCACAAAACATATTAACATATTTATTAGCACTGATGAAGATCCGGGCTTACGGATCGAAAGCTTTGCAGCAATAAATTTACGTGGTGTTTCCACAAACAAAAACATTTATAAAGACGTTTACTATTTTGTTCCAAGGACCCCAAAAATGGAATTCCCTTCCGGAAAACATTAAAAATTTAGAGACTTTAAGTTGCTTCAGGAATAGAATGTTAAAATATCTAATATAGCCATCATTTATATTATGAAACTGGTAAAATAATTTCATATGCTCTAAACGTCTGATTCCCCTTTGTGTTTATATATGTTGTGCTCATTTAAAAGGGAGCCTAAACTCCTATAAGCCTTGTGGTTTCGTCTTAGGCTTCCTTGTCACCAACATGATGACTGAACAAAATTTATTTATCGAACTATACTTATCTATATAACTTATCTATCTTATTTAAATATCTAACTATTATATAACAGCTATAATATTTATATATACAGTATATGCATGTAATTTACAATCTTTTTATTTTTATTTTTTTTGTAATGTTGGTGTCAAATCAAATTAAATTCATTCATAAATTCATTAAATTCATTCATTCATTCATTCATTAAATTTTAATTAGCGATAATCCAATTTAAATGTCCCCTACGGCTAAATTTAAACTGTTGAGATAGTGAAATCCTATTGGTATAGAATGATTACGTGTTCGACTTCCAACAAAGAGATTTTGACTTACTGTCGATCTGATGTGGATATATTACGTCGTTGCTGTCTGGAATTTTGCGAGTTATTACGTGATGTTACAGACAATGATCCGTTCGAGAAATGTCTCACTATTGCATCGGCCTGCAATCTCGTGTTTCGAAAGAACTCCCTGAAAGAAGATACCATTGCAATCATTCCTCCTCACGGTTATCGTCCCAAAGACAAGCAATCCCTCTTGGCTTTAAAATGGCTTTCGTACAAGGCTGAAAAGGAAGACCTATACATTCAACATGCTTGTAATGCAGGAGAAAAGCGTGTTGGCAACTATTTATTGGACGGTTATGATGAAGAAACCAACACAGCCTACGAGATCAATGGGTGCTTCTGGCACGGTAAATTAACTCGAATAAACGCCTCCTTCGAACACCTTGGAGTAAAATTATATTATTGGTTTTTTTCAGGATGTTTGAAATGCTATGCTCGGGACAAGATAAATTCTGTGAGTGGTAAGACGATGCAAGATCTTCATCAAGCTACAGTGGAGAAGATCAGTTACCTTAAAGATCATGGTTTCGGTGTGATTGAAGTCTGGGAATGTGACATCAGGAAAGAACTGGAACAAGATGAAGACCGATGAAGACTTACTTTGACAACTACGATCTGGTTGATCATTTGGAACCTCGTGATGCCTTCTTTGGTGGACGAACCAACGCTGCAAAACTGTCCCACGAATGTAAAGATGGTGAGAAAATAAGGTAAGATGTAATAAAATGGTAGGAACGATTATGACGTCAGAGCAAATATATTAATGACGCCATCTTTCTCTTAGGTTTGTGGATTTTACGAGCCTCTACCCATGGTGTAACAAAATGACTCGAATAGTTGTAGGCCATCCCCGCATCATTACCGAAAATATCGAAGCTTGATTAAATGCTCGGTGCTTCCACCTCGAGGTCTCTTCCACCCCGTCATGCCCCATCGTACACAAGGCAAATTGACGTTCCCCCTATGCAAGTCCTGCGTTGATGCGTGTCATCAGACCCCATGTACCCATTCCGATCACGAAAGAGCCATCCAAGGAACATGGTTCAGCGTGGAGTTGGAGAAAGCCCTGGAGAAAGGTTACCGAATTCTACAAATGCACGAAGTATGGCATTTTCCCCAATCTTCCGACGGATCAAGATCAAGCAGGATCGAGTGATTACTCAAAGAATTGTACCACGGAAGAACAGAGACAACAGTACGTAGACGAATACCTTGTAGTTGAAGGAATACAGTTGGACCCCAGCAAATTCGAGCACAATCCAGGCATGCGTGCGTTATCCAAGCTCATGCTAAACTCGTTTTGGGGTACGTATTTTAAACAGCGCAAGTTTTTAGGTGGCATCCGAGGACGTGCAACGTTATCGCTACAAATACTCATAATATATTTTTCTTCATAGGTAAGTTTGCGCAACGTCCCAATATGACCAAAGTGCAATTGATCAGCGACGTGCAAACGTTTCTCGACTATCTGACCTCGGACGAGATCAATGTCCTCGATGCAAATTTCGTAAGTGATGAAGTGAGCGAGATCCACTACGAAAACAACGAGTATTTCGTAACGCCAAACTCCAAGACCAATGTGGTCATCGCCGCTTTTACCACCACCTATGCACGACTCGAGCTCTACCGACTGCTGGACGAATTGAAAGAAAGAGTGTTGTACTACGATACGGACTCTGTGATATTTGTCAGCAAACCGGGGGAGCCAGAATCCCTGATAGGTCTTTATCTCGGTCAACTAACAGATGAATTGAAACAAGGACACATTACAACCTTCATTTCGGGCGGACCGAAGAATTATTGCTATCGGACCAGTTCCAACAAAGTGGAGACGAAAATACGCGGTATCACGTTGATTTGCACCGCAAGGCAAAAAGTGAACTTTGACGTTATACGCGAATTAGTACGTTTGCACGCAGTGTGTAAAGTGAACAATAAGGTGACGGTTGATATCCCGTACAAGATCACGAGAAACACAAAGACAAAAAGCATTGAAACGAAACGTACGAGAAAGGACTACAGAATAGTTTATAATAAACGTGTAATTATGGATGATTATAAAACATTACCTTAGAGGATGGGAAAGGGTATTTTCGTGAGCCGTGAATGGTCAATATTTGTTCGCGTGAAATGTGAAATGCCTGATTTTAGTGTCGTGAAATGTGATTTGTTCTACAACCGTGAGGCGTGATTGTCGATAAAAATGCTCCGTGAAATGAGAATTAACGTGTCTGATTCGTGAACTGTGATTTTGCTTTGTTTATTTCGATCTATTTTATAATAGTCACAATAAACATGATACGCGATAATCCATTTATATGATCGATCTCACGCGACTGCAGAAGAGTAAAAACTTCGGAGGCCTTTTGGAGGTCGTCGGACATACTCGTCACTCAAACTTGTGAGTCATGATGTAGTTTTAACTGACAGGTAGAAAAGTGAGAGAACTTAAAGCGTGTATATACTTTACCATGCATCAAACGTACTCTTAATAAACCTATTATTATCACATTATTTTATTAGAATCTAGTTTTCCGTGAAATTGTTTTTTTAAGACACGTGAATCGTGAAACGGCTTTTTTTTTCGTTGTCAAACGTAATCCATACCCCCCTCCCTTCCCACCCTCACCTTATGGGTATTAATACATAGATTACAGTCGAAATAAATGTTTTACGAGATCGTTTGATCTCAATTGAAGTTAATTTCTGATCTTCAGTTTGTGATAATGATCCAGATTCACCCCCGTTTCTTCTTCCAGTGTCGCGACTTGCTTTTCATTTTTTCTAGCCATGTCAAACTTCAAAATTTCCTTAGCGTTCATATGATAAGTAAAGTTATTCCCCTGGGGAGCCCGAGGTACCGTTACACTCGTTAATGTTTCCAATATGATTTGCGTCAACATGATTGAGTGCAATGTCGGATTGTCAATAAGCGTTGCGGGTAACATATTCTTCTCTATCAAAAGCCTCATCAAATCCAAAGTTGCCAAATTTCCCTCTTGCGTTAAGCATTTGTTCGAGAGCCAGTGAGTTACGATGTCTCTCCAAGCCATGTTCGTTTGATCTGATCAAAAATTTTAAAAGGTGCTAGGTTTTTATAGATTTTGCCCACATAACAATTTGCATTGTGTCCAACAATGATTTAAATTTGTAGCGGCATCGTGTTTTTATAGGTTACAATAACTGAAAGGTCTCGTGTTTCAACGCCCGTCTGTGGTCCACGCAAAAAACTGTTTCCAATTGTCCGCATTATACTTGATCAATTCATGCACTTTCATTTCGCTCAAACGTCTAGTAAAAGCTTTCATGACTTTCGTTTCCGAAGCCTTTTCCAAAGCATAGTCAAAGTACAAACATAATTGTACGTCCCTTTCCATCGTAAGACATTGATGATGCGTTTGGGACGGATGCTCTGTCATGCATCCGTTACAATTTTCAACAATGGGCTGAGAGATGATAGGAGCTATTTCTTCAGCTGAAATTTTCAAAAGTTTCTTTACGATAAGCTTTTGGCGATGACGGAGAACTAATTCCTTATTGTCAATGTCGATAGGCTCAGAACGAAGCATGTTTGATCTTCACTTGACTGTTGACTGTTTCTTTTAAGTGCAAAACGTTTAAAGTCGCACGTACCTATAGGAATCTTTTCATAATAGAGCGTACGTCATGGGACACACTGCCAGCAAAAATCCGAAGATTAACAAAGATCATAATAAAAAGAAAATGTTTAGAATCGGTATAAGTGTTGGACGAAATGATCTCAATGTTGAGGGACATATACAGGCTGGATACAGCAGTAAAACCATTAAGAACTACAGACCTATCGGAAATGTCCCAACAAATGGCGAACACTATTCAAAATGATAGTATTCAAAACGTTGAAGAATAAAGCGAATCCTTCATTTCACGCGCGAACATGGACGAATACCTATCCAGCGTGTATTACGATCCAAAACGTCCTGGAGGATTTGGCGGAGTAGATCGTTTGTATGATGACGTAAAAAAGGAAGGAAAGTTTGCGATAAGTCGTAAGAAATTAAAGAATGGCTGATGAAATAAGATGCGTATATGTTGCATAAACCCATGCGTCGTCACTTCAAACGAAATCGCGTCATCGTAGGCGGTATCGATCAACAATGGCAAATGGATCTGGCAGACATGCAGTCCATGCAAAAATTTAACGACGGGTATCGTTACCTGCTCGTGTGCATCGATGTCTTTTCGAAATATGCATGGGTAGTCCCGTTGAAAAACAAAACGGGTCCAACGCTGGTCGAGGCTTTCAAAGTGATTTTGTCGTCTGGGCGCAAACACGAAAAGATCATGACCGATCAAGGAACAGAGTTTTTAAACAAACATTTTCGAGCGTTGATGAAAGAAGAAGAAATCGAACTGTACAACACGTACAACGAAACAAAAGCTTCTATCGTGGAACGTCTGATTCGTACTCTGAAGACCAAAATGTGGCGTTATTTTACCCCCCGAAAAACCATGAGATACGTGGACATGTTACCCGATTTGGTTTATTCTTACAATCATAGTGTTCACCGTAGCATAAAGACAAAACCCGCGGAAGTAACTGTTGAAAACGAAAGTAAAAGTGTGGCACACTCTGTATGACCATGACGCCGTGAAAAATGTAAAGTACAAGTTTAAGATTGGTGATAAAGTTAGAATTAGCAAGATGAAGGGAACGTTCGAAAAAGGGTACTTGCCAAATTTCTCAAAAGAGATCTTTACTATCAGCAAGCAAATACCTCGTGATCCTCGAGTGTACAAATTAAAGGATCTGGACGGTGAAGAACTCAAAGGAACGTTTTACGAGAAAGAGCTGAAAAAGGTGATCAAAGAAGATGACGTGTACGAAATTGAGAAAATCTTGAAGAAACGTGGAAGGGGCCACAACGTACACTATTTTGTAAAATGATTAGGGTACCCAAATAAATTTAATTCATGGGTACCCGCTTCTGAAATAAATAAATAAAGATTTAAACATTTGAACGTGTTGTCTATTTGTTGTTTTCATTTGTAATTCACAATGAGCGGAACACATTTTTACCTCACGCTTCCTAGCAATGCATCCTCGGATATCTTTCCCGATAACAAGACGACAAGTTATCGAGTCAATTTACCTCAAGCTATTAGTTTGAGTGGCGAATGGGAAGTGGGTTTGAATTCAATAAACTACCCTCGGACATGGTACACTCTTGGTAATAATTTTGATACCCACATGTATACCAGTGATCAGAGTGGTCTTTTCAGTGCTACCATAATCGATTACGGCTTTTATGAAACAATGCCTGAATTAGTGAAATCTGTTAATAAAACTTTGGCAAAAGATGTGACCGATAACGTTAAGTTGACATTTAATGTTCGTACAGAAAAAGTTACAGTCCATTTAAAAAACAAGCATCAATTGGTTGTGACTAATAAAATGTCAATCGTGTTGGGGTTTGGTGGAAAAGAAACGAAAATAGTGAAAACGACGACAAGTCCTTACGCAGCTGACTTACATGGTTTCATGGCCATCTATGTATATTGCGATATCGTGCAACCTCAAATTGTCGGAAATACCAGTGCCAAATTACTCAGAAGCATTCCCGTCCAAGGAAAGTTGGGTGATGTCATTACTAAAACGTTCACGAACATACAATACGTTCCAGTTCAAACCAAATCCTTTGAAGATGCGGAAATTGTTTTAAGGAACGACACAGGCGATCCAGTGCCATTTGAACGTGGGAAGGTGATAGCGACACTACATTTCAGAGAGCGTAGTTATTTCACTTGAAAAGATGAATAATACTTACGTACGCTATTATTTGGATCAACAGCAAGGGCACGGGATGCCTGTTTTGTCAGGTAGCCCTTGGCAAGCCGGTTATGGTCACCAGATGGTCTATGGAATCGGGGGTCTTTTCGCACCGTGGTAAGAGCGATGATGCCCATGGTGAAAAGCGGAACAAAAGCTCTCGGTAACATTGCCCTGAAAAGTGACGCTGACTTTGTGGGTGATGTTCTTGCCGCTAGAAACGTAAAAAAAGCAGCAAAAGCACGAACCATGGAGGCTGCTAACGTTGTGAAAAGAAAAGAAAAGCTATAAATAAGCTGAACAGTCAAACAGGAAGTGGAAAACGTGCGAAACGAACTGCTAAAAAGAGAAAGGCATCAACATCTACAGCCAGAAGCAATCAGACCAAGAAACAGAAAACAGCCTCCATGGTTCGTGCTTTTGCAGCTTCTTTCACGTTTCTACCGGCAAGAACATCGCCCACAAAGTCCTTGATCAGTCATGATCTTTTCGTGTTTGCGTCCAGACGACAAAATCACTTTGAAAGCCTCGACCAGCATTGGACCCGTTTTGTTTTTCAACGGGACTACCCATGCATATTTCGAAAAGACATCGATGCATGCACACGAGCAGGTAACGATACCCGTTGTTACATTTTTGCATGGACTGCATGTCTGCCAGATCCATTTGCCATTGTTGATCGATACCGCCTACGATGACGCGATTTCGTTTGAAGTGACGACGCATGGGTTTATGCAACATATACGCATCTTATTTCATCAGCCATTCTTTAATTTTCTTACGACTTATCGCAAACTTTCCTTCCTTTACGTCATCATACAAACGATCTACTCCGCCAAATCCTCCAGGACGTTTTGGATCGTAATACACGCTAGATAGGTATTCGTCCATGTTCACGCGTGAAATGAAGGATTCGCTTTATTCTTCAATGTTTTGAATTCTATTATTTTGAATACAGTGTTCGTCATTTGTTGGGGCATTTCCGATAGGTTTGTAGTTCTTAATGGTTTTACTGCTGTATCCAGCCTGTAAATGTCCCTCAATGCAACATTGAGATCATTTCGTCCAACACTTATACCGATTCTAAACATTTTCTGTTTATTATAATCTTTGTTAATCTTCGGATTTTTGCTGGCAGTGTGTCCCATGACGTACGATCTATTATGAAACGATTCTTATAGGTACGTGCGACTTTAAACATTTTGCACTTAAAAGAAACAGTCAACAGTCAAGTGAAGATCAAACATGCTTCGTTCTGAGCCTATCGACATTGACAATAAGGAATTAGTTCTCCGTCATCGCCAAAAGCTTATCGTAAAGAAACTTTTGAAAATTTCAGCTGAAGAAATAGCTCCTATCATCTCTCAGTTCGTTGTTGAAAATTGTAACGGATGCATGACAGAGCATCTGTCCCAAACGCATCATCAATGTCTTACGATGGAAAGGGACGTACAATTATGTTTGTACTTTGACTATGCTTTGGAAAAGGCTTCGGAAACGAAAGTCATGAAAGCTTTTACTAGACGTTTGAGCGAAATGAAAGTGCATGAATTGATCAAGTATAATGCGGATAATTGGAAACAGTTTTTTGCGTGGACCACAGACGGGCGTTGAAACACGAGACCTTTCAGTTACTGTAACCTATAAAAACACGATGCCGCTATAAATTTAAATCATTGTTGGACACAATGCAAATTGTTATGTGGGCAAAATCTATGAAAACCCAGCACCTTTTAAAATTTTTGATCAGATCAAACGAACATGGCTTGGAGAGACATCGTAACTCACTGGCTCTCGGACAAATGCTTAACGCAAGAGGGAAATTTGGCAACTTTGGATTTGATGAGGCTTTTGATAGAGAAGAATATGTTACCCGCAACGCTTATTGACAATCCGACATTGCACTCAATCATGTTGACGCAAATCATATTGGAAACATTAACGAGTGTAACGGTACCTCGGGCTCCCCAGGGGAATAACTTTACTTATCATATGAACGCTAAGGAAATTTTGAAGTTTGACATGGCTAGAAAAAATGAAAAGCAAGTCGCGACACTGGAAGAAGAAACGGGGGTGAATCTGGATCATTATCACAAACTGAAGATCAGAAATTAACTTCAATTGAGATCAAACGATCTCGTAAAACATTTATTTCGACTGTAATCTATGTATTAATACCCATAAGGTGAGGGTGGGAAGGGAGGGGGGTATGGATTACGTTTGACAACGAAAAAAAAAACCGTTTCACGATTCACGTGTCTTAAAAAAACAATTTCACGGAAAACTAGATTCTAATAAAATAATGTGATAATAATAGGTTTATTAAGAGTACGTTTGATGCATGGTAAAGTATATACACGCTTTAAGTTCTCTCACTTTTCTACCTGTCAGTTAAAACTACATCATGACTCACAAGTTTGAGTGACGAGTATGTCCGACGACCTCCAAAAGGCCTCCGAAGTTTTTACTCTTCTGCAGTCGCGTGAGATCGATCATATAAATGGAGTATCGCGTATCATGTTTATTGTGACTATTATAAAATAGATCGAAATAAACAAAGCAAAATCACAGTTCACGAATCAGACACGTTAATTCTCATTTCACGGAGCATTTTTATCGACAATCACGCCTCACGGTTGTAGAACAAATCACATTTCACGACACTAAAATCAGGCATTTCACATTTCACGCGAACAAATATTGACCATTCACGGCTCACGAAAATACCCTTTCCCATCCTCTAAGGTAATGTTTTATAATCATCCATAATTACACGTTTATTATAAACTATTCTGTAGTCCTTTCTCGTACGTTTCGTTTCAATGCTTTTTGTCTTTGTGTTTCTCGTAATCTTGTACGGGATATCAACCGTCACCTTATTGTTCACTTTACACACTGCGTGCAAACGTACTAATTCGCGTATAACGTCAAAGTTCACTTTTTGCCTTGCGGTGCAAAGGATCAACCAGATCGTAGTTGTCAAATTAAGTCTTCATCGGTCTTCATCTTGTTCCAGTTCTTTCCTGATGTCACATTCCCAGACTTCAATCACACCGAAACCATGATCTTTAAGGTAACTGATCTTCTCCACTGTAGCTTGATGAAGATCTTGCATCGTCTTACCACTCACAGGATTTATCGTGTCCCGAGCATAGCATTTCAAACATCCTGAAAAAACCCAATAATATAATTTTACTCCAAGGTGTTCGAAGGAGGCGTTTATTCGAGTTAATTTACCGTGCCAGAAGCACCCATTGATCTCGTAGGCTGTGTTGGTTTCTTCATCATAACCGTCCAATAAATAGTTGCCAACACGCTTTTCTCCTGCATTACAAGCATGTTGAATGTATAGGTCTTCCTTTTCAGCCTTGTACGAAAGCCATTTTAAAGCCAAGAGGGATTGCTTGTCTTTGGGACGATAACCATGAGGAGGAATGATTGCAATGGTATCTTCTTTCAGGGAGTTCTTTCGAAACACTAGATTGCAGGCCGATGCAATAGTGAGACATTTCTCGAGCGGATAATTGTCTGTAACATCACGTAATAACTCGCGAAATTCCAGACAGCAACGACGTAATATATCCACATCAGATCGACAGCAATTCAAAATCTCTTGTTGGAAGTCGAACACGTAATTATTCTCTTTCAAACCATTATGCCATTCCAAAAACGTTTTTTTCTCATCAGGACTCATTCCATCAGGCTGGTAATATGAAGTAGGTGGCATGGGTCCAACGTAGTTTTGATTCTCGGTTGTGTTGAATAGGTGGGGAAAATAGCCTTTCGCGAGTTCGCTCAAACGAAACGTTTTTGGAAAATCAGCGAGTCTCATCGGTATGAAACTCAGAGAGTCGACAAACTTAATCTTGAACATTGGAACATTTAACGTTAGGATCTTGGCGCCACGCATAATGACTTCGGGAATCACGCCATTTTCGTGTAAGTACTGCTGAATAAAGTAACCGTCGTAGCCTTGAAAGTTGTGAGCCAACACGATACAGTTTGCATGTTCCTTTGTAAATAGCCATTCACAAAATTCATTCCTCGTATTATCCCCTTGAAATACCCACTCGTCTCCTGCTTCGTTTTGCAACTACGCACAAGTTGGGTTCATGATTTCCATTTTCTTGGCGACACTCAAAGTCGAAAAATAGCAGTTCGTTGTACCCACTTTGAGGGGCATCATCTCCGTCATGTGCCTCGTTGTCGAGCATATTGGATTCTGATTGATTCCTACGAGTACTACTTTCCTTCATGGGTTGCATGTAGCATTGATGATTCTCGGCGGGCACGTATTCTCTACAGATCGAGCAACGAGTCTTACCGCAGTGATGCAAATCGGATTTTTGCATTTCCTACAGTTTGTTTATGTCGATCGAAACATTCTTGACTTTTAAAAACACGCAAAGAATCTGCATAAGGCAGCCACGAAACAATCGTACAATTTTGAAAATAACATAATTTACACGAGTTAGGGCATGAATGATCGGTCATTTTATCATACCCTTTTTTACAGGTATGACAATAGAGTTTTCTGGCAAAAAAGGCGGGCATACTCGTGATCAGATCATAGTGATTGTCATGCAAAATAAATAAATCATTTTGTCTTTTTCGGGACCGGAAAAAATTATAGAATTTTGATGTTCTTTTGAAACGATAATGATTTGATAATCCAATAAATACGTTTGAAAAAGTTTGAAAGTGTTGCTATTGGAACACCGACTTTTTGGTGGAAATCACGAGCTAAACGTGCTTGAAGAAGTTTACGATGATTGATTATTATCTCATATTGACTATCACTTTCAATTTTAGCTATAGAAACAATGAGTACCCTAGCTAAACAAATGTCGTCCGTGTTTTGGATCCGTATAATTGAGCCTTTTTTGACCAAATGCTTTTCCAAGTTAATTTCACTACGTTTTGTGCCGGTTCCGCCGTTGGGCATTTCAACATGGATTAAATTGACATTGATACTATCATTCAAACGAAATTCATGATTGGATTGAATCACACGCTCAATTTCAGCTAAAAACCGCTCAGTTGTAAGACGTTGACGAGGCAAGAAAGGAAGAGAAATGGGCTTATCAAGCTGAGGCGATTGCAACACAAAACGGATTTGATCTTGCATAGGAATATCTTGCGTGAAGGTATCCAATAAACTTTCAAATATTTCATGAAGATGGTCGTGATATTGAGAAAGTTCCAAATGAGCAAACGTGTCCATAAATTGAACTGTATAATCCATACCAGTTGTGCTGAACTTTTTCACTTTAACTTGCTTAACATTCGAT